CCCCCTGCAAGGATCTTGCTCTTCAGTCCTCCCAAGCTCCCCCACAGACACTACTTGCCCCCACAATCCTCCCAGACCTCCCCCCAGCCTCCCCCATCTTGACTTACCTTTTTAACTAGATCTAACCTCCTTCTGACCTCCCTGAATGTCTGTACATACCCAAAATGTCATGGCTAGGTTTGCTGATGTTGCAAACTACCTATGGAGATCTTATTTCCCTCTCTCTGCTTGGGTTGCCTCTTGCTTTTCCCACTTGCAAAGATGGTTCCATAAGAGGAACTGGTAGCAAAATATGGGTGTCTGCTGGGTATGCAGGCAATGCTCTACTTCTTCACTTGGTCCTACTTGAATGGGGGAATCCAGGACTTATCTTAATATCTGGAACAGAAGCTAGGATAGAATAAAAAACTTGATATTTTGGCTTTTGGTTCCTTTCTCTCCAAAATCAAAGTGCAAGTTATTCAGTACAAGAGACAAATAAAATGATTTTGGGTGGTCATTTATGATCTGTCACCAGATAAATCTGAGGTACTGCTGGCACTGCTTATAAAATCATGCCAGGGCAAGCATCTGTACTGTTATATGTAAATATTATTTTAATATAAGTGAAGACCCTGCATAAACCAGTGTTCTAGAATAAACTATGAAGATATAACTAATGTACACTGAAATACTGACGATTTGTTTTATAAAATTTTGCTTTAAAAACACTTTTCCTCATACTGAAAATAACCAAAATATTGTAGTATTAGGAAAATATAAGTGAATTGGTGTATGAACTAACTGAAGTGTTAAGAAAAGCATCCTATTTAAAATAACCTTTACAAAACAGTTATCTGTTATTTGGAGCATATTTTGGGTTTCATGTGCAAGTTTAGTTAGAACAGTGTCTCTTCCATTTTTTGGGGTATGGAATATCTAGGAGGGACCTGAGAAGCAAGTCATACAACACAGCATGTAGGGAAATCTAATCTAGGAAAAGAACTCTGAATATTAACTAACTTGGAAAATGGTGCACAGCATAAAAAAAGTCGTCTTTGTCTTCCTTCAACCTGATTGAGTGGCTCCTGATTTTTCTCTCTGAAGGAAACTACTGTCTTGCGTAGAGAATCAATGGCAAAGTTATTTTTATACTTTAGTAATATAAAGTACATTAATATCTTAGAGAAGTCTTCAAAAATATCTCAAGGACAGAGAAACAGCAAATACAGAAACCTTATATTTGTAGCATTTGATTCTTTTAATAGAAAAAACAGCATTAAGAATCTTATTTAAAGCTTACTGAAGTATTATGTAAAGATTCTTCTTGACTTAAGTTGACTTTGGATCTGACCCCAAATTACACATCTTTCATAATAACTGAACTTACAGAGCAACAGCAGAACTAACTTCTATATTTTTAGATAAATCTTTTCTGTTGATATGGGATGTTAAAAAAGTCATCTAATCACCATACCAGAACTATATACTTGCTAATGTTTTAATTAGCTTCAGACTATCCTATTTAGTTTGTAAGATTTTCCACTTCATAAAAATGAGCCTGCAGGTAGTATAGCAGTTGCTTTTTACTTCACTTTTATGCTTTAAATTCAGAGTCAAAACCTCACCCATCCACCCCCACCCCCCCAATCCCAAACCTGGTGGGGGAGAATGGAGATAATTAGTACGAACTAATACTCTTTTTTTTCTTCCCAGTGCTTTATGATAGAGAAGAGCTGTGCTTGTTAGTTTTTGTGTGTTTGTTCTTCATAGTGATATCTATCCAGATCTTTTTTGTGTTATATTAGTGAAATCTTTATTTGCTTTGCTTGACCCATTTCTTCTGAATTTCAGCAGGAACATCACTCTGTAATTTCAAACAAACAAAGGACACCCCAGTGGCCATAATTATTCCACATGTAGTTCAGAAAGGTAGGCATTTTTTCCTAGTCAAATTGAAAATTGCTATTTTGAGCATTAACCCTTTCTAAATTTGAAAATATAGGGCCTTGTTACATGTTGCACAGTACATTGGACTGCTTAAATGGTGATCAGTGTTAGTGCCAGCTTGAGTTTTGAGCAGTCACATCTTAAGGCCAAAGCTTTCTCAGACTGTCCCGAATCTGCACAGCTGTGACATACCACTAGAAGACTGGGAAGCAGGGGGACTGACTAGGAGCTACAGCTCTGAGTTGCCACCACACGGCTAGTGAGCCAGGACAGGCTTCTATCCCTGCTGTAGGTGGGGATGTTTGAGAGATGGATTGTGTGGGAGGGGCAGGAACATGAAGCTGGGAGGTA